GGGAGGGAGGGAGGAAGGGAGGAAGGAAGGAAGGAGACTTAAGAGTGGTGATAGACCCCAGTCTGCAGCCAGGGTCCCTCACAAAACTTTATGTCAAGGTTCCCCAAGGAAAAGAAAGCATATTTGGCCACAATTCTAGATAATGTATTTACAAGTAATGTCATCTCAGTTACATATTCCCTGTATAACAAACCACCCCAAAATTTGATGGCTTGAAAGCAACAACTCTCCCCTTGCTCTGGATTGCTAGGGAGGGTCCTCTGCCAGTCCCAACTGGATTGCTCAAGTAGCTACACTGATGGGCCAGCTGGGGACTAGGCATGGCAGATGTGTAAGGGGCTCTCTCCCCTTGGTCTGAATCCCAGGTTGCTTCACTGCACAGATGTTTCAGAGTCCCATGAGAGTGAGAACTGGAGATACAAGGTTCCTGAGCTCCTGCAACATCATCTCTTCTCATTTCTGCTGGTCAAACAACTTGTAAAGCCAGCTCAATTTCAAGGGTGTGGAAGAGTGAGTGACTAGCAGCAATGAGAAGTCATTAGCATCCCTAGGCCTGAAGGGGCAGGGGAAGCAGGAGTGTTGCCAGAGCCCTGCAAACACTGGAGGGTTAGGGAGAGATACCCACCAGATACTCTCAGCACTGGAGCTGAGAGACAGAAAAGCTGCCAGAACCCGGCTACTGGCCAGCGATGGAGACCAATGGCTTATCCCTCCCTCTGGTCACTTGCCAGCACATTCCATTGGCCAAGTGTGAATGAAAGCCAGAGTTCAAGGGAGCCAGGTGACATCATCCACGGAGGTTAGCTTTCCAGGATACAGAACAGGATGGAGAACAGACCTGATGGGGAAATGTGAGGTAGACAGCTCAACCTTATTAACTTAGCTGATAGAAACACAGGGGTCTTTTTTTTTTTTAGTGTAAATATAATATTGAATCCCCTTTTCTTTCCAAATGACCTTTATTTGCAAGTTTCCTGCCTCTCATCACCTTCCAAAGAAACTCTTCAGTCTTGGAATCGTTGTGACTGCTAAAATGTTAGAATCCGACTGTCCATCTTCATTGAGCTCCCCCCATTGGTTTTCATTTTATTTCCTCAGGACAAGAGAATACATACCTGCTTAGCTTCCTAAAGTGGGCTTTCAAGTGCTTACAAAGAGCTAAGTAACGTGCCCTGAATCTTCTTTTCTCCATATGAGTTAACATCACCAGTTAACTCAATTTTTGTTGAGAGGACAGTTTCAAATGTCTTCAGCAATCTGGCTCTTTCTTCTCCACACATGCCAATGTGAAAATTACCTCAAACCAATCCAGTATTCTGGTGTGGTCTGACGAAGTAACGTGAGACATTTTCTTTCCTTCTTCTACCTAAGGTCAGAGTCTTTTCCAAAAGGCCACATCTTGCTTTTAAATGTCTCTCTCTACAGATCTTCTATTCACTGCTGTGGGTTCCATATTAAAGTTTACTAGAATTACCAACTACTTATTGAATAAAGAATGAATAAATGAATGCATAGATAGGTGGACAGAAGGATCAACCCATAGATAGGTGGACACAAGGATCAACCCATAAAGCCATGAATTGGTAGAGGAATAAGTGTGAGGTTAAGCAAGTCACTTTGCTTTATAGTTCAGGGACTTCAGTGTCATCAGAGAAGAAAGATGAAAAAATAAAAATGTCAGTTTGTTTTCTGAAAATTGGAAAACTCTAAAACAAAGAACATATGTTTCTAAATGAAGTTAAAGTAATAAGAACAAATCTTTGGAAATACAGCACTTCACTAAATCTAATCAAGGAAGTTGTTATGTATGTTTTTGTTTCTAATGATTTTTTTTTTTTTTTTTTTTTTTTTTGGACCAGGGATTGAACCCAAGAGTTCAATTAACCCCTGAGTCACATTCCTGGTCCTTTTAAATTTTTTGAGACAGGGTCTCACTAAGTTGCTTAGGGCCTCATTTCTAATGAATTCTAACCAGCTACAGCCTTACATTTTTTTAAAAAAAATGCTTTTAGGTATAAAATTTTTAGATAAAAAGATGAATTTTTTTCTGATATATGTGAAAACTTTGAGAAGACCTATGGAAAGAGATGTTTCATTCATTGGATCAAAGCATAAACTAAAAATATCTTGAAGAGACACACAACAAGGTCATTGTTCTGTCATGTGTAACTAATTAAAACAAATTTAAAAATTAAAAAAAAAGAGAGACACACAAATCGCTGTTTGGTATAATATGGATATCTAGGAGGAATCTACCAAATGGGCATATGTCGTTTATTTTATTTTCTTCTTTCAGATTTAGAGAAGAAGATCCAAGATTTGAATCTAAGTAGACAAGAAAAAGCTGATCAACTGAAACAATTAGAAGAGCAAGTTGTTGCCATTAAAAATGAAATTGTTGAGCAGGAAAATAAATACGCCACCTGCTATAGTTAGGCAGAGTTAAGGCCCAAAAGATTGTGCCTGTGTTTCTGGCTTCTGGTGCACAAACTTGCATCAGTGTACTGAATTTGTGAGACACAAAGGTCAGCCTCTCCTGCCTCCCTTCCCTATATCCTCTTCTCACTAGAGATCTGCTCCATGTAGCTGGAGGGAGGAACTGGGCCAGAGAGAGGCCACTTGGATGCCACTTCACAGCAGAAAGATGGAAGAAAAGATATAGTATCCGCTTTCAGAGACCTTTCCTCTTCCTTTCTTTTCTCTTTCAGAACTCGAAAGTAGTTGGTACATAAGATAAGTAAAAATTTAAATAAGTACTTACTAAAAATCATTTCAAACTGGGCATGGTAGTGCATGCCTGTAATCCCAGCAACTCGGGAGGCTGAAATAGGAGGATCGCAAGTTCAAAACCAGCCTCAGCAACTTACAATGGCCCTAAGCAACTTAGCAAGATCCTGTCTCAAAATAAAAAATAGAAAGGGCTGGGATGTGTTTCAGTAGTTAAATGCCCCTGGGTTCAATCCCCAGTGCCAAAAAAAAAATTAAAACAAAAATCATTTCAGTCAAATGAATTTAAACATTAAATAAAGATACTAGGAAGGAATGCAGACGTGTATTCTAGATTGTCCTTTTTTATTTATTTGTATTTGCTTTATTTGTAAAACTATTATTCTCTTTTGAATAAAATGCACACAATTCTAAATGTAATTTGCAGTTACAGCCACTTTCCTACAGACTCATTCTCTCACCCAAAGGATTCTGTTTCCCCCAAATGACATTGGAACAATATTCAAAAAGATAAATATTGAACTACTTTTCACAATTTGTGGGTATTTTGTTGTAAAAAAAATCTTCTTGTTTTTAAAAGACTAGCAATCATGTTCTTATTGTTTAGTATAAAATATCAGATGTTCCATTTCAAGAAAAGACATTTAACATTAACTTTTTTGCATGTGTGATTTATAACAGCAAACTGTTTGTGAATGCTATCCTTCAGAGGGATAATTGGAAAAGAATTTGGCCCCACATTTTTGAATAAAAAATAATATACATCAACATTGATATATGAAAGAGGAAGAGCTGCTGGAGCCATTTCTATCTTAATAAAAATAGGATTTATAAATTCAACAAAGACCTTTAATATTGCACATAAGTATGAAATTCATTAAAAGGTAGGTTATTAAGGAAAATGCAGAATCTATTTCCCTGCAGATTCTAAAGAATAGAAGGAAATTTTTCTACAGGAAGTACCACCCCAGAAATTTCTCTTGAAGTATACAATCGTAATGCTCCACCTATCCAGCATTGAGGCTTTTGCAAACCTCCACCCATGATCAGTGTACAAAATGACTCAGAGAGTCAAAAATATAACACCCAAAGTCTAAGTTCTTTATTCTAATGTTAAGGCTGGATGTAACACACTCCAGCTTTCCATAAGACACTGACTTTCAACTTGGTACACAGACAGTTAATGTTGCAAGCACAGGTTTTTTGAGGTTGTTGTTATTTATTCCCAAAAGCAATATTCAATTGTTCTTCCATTTTCAGCAATCAGAGACTACAGAAGGAATAGGTCAGGGATGTGGGAATAGCTAAAAAGAGAAGAGATTGTGCTTGCTGGCTGGGAAGACTTAACTAGCCATAGAGTTCTGGAAAGGCAGGAAAATCCCCAGGCATCAGGAAAACACATTCATTGTGGAACCAAGTGCAAAGGCAAGATAAACCCCTCATCTCAGCAGAACCCCCTCACCCTGGGGACATTGTAGTTGGAAGAGGTAAGGACGCAGGTATGTACTTTGGAAAAACTGCAATTATACCTAGTTGTGCTTTCTAAAGTCTGCTGTTTAAAATAATAAGCTTCAGTTGTCTAAAAAAATGTACATATGTGAAAAATCTTATTCCTCAGTAATGTTGGGAAACTCATTCTGTCTTCTATTAATTGCTATACCCATTCATTATTCAGGATGTGATCAAGGTAAGATTCTGTGAAACAGTATCACTTTTTACATTGCAAAGCAATTTGACAATGTGTATCAAGATCTGACACTGAGACCTAATATTTCATAGTTAAACCTGTGTATGAAGAACATTATCTTAAGTATGGGGGATGATGCTTTGTGGATAAATCACTGCAGGACTCCTTACATTAAATATTCAAAATTAATAAAGATGTAAAGCATCTTGCTATAGTTTGGATCTGGAATGTCCCCCCAAAGCCTTATGTGTTAAAGGCTTGGTCCCCAACCCATGATGCTATTAGGAGGTCATGGAATCTTTAAGAAGTGAGGATTAATGAGATGAAGTTAGGTCACTTGGGTGGGGCATGTCCTTGAAAAGGACATTAGGGCCCTGTCACTTTCCTGTTTCTCTTTTTGCTTCCTAGTCATCATGAAGTGAACAGGCCTCCTTCACCACGCACTCTCACCATGTGTGTTCACCACAGGCCCAAAGTCACAGGGCCCAGCAAACATGGACTGAAAACTCTGAAAATTGTGGGACAAAATAAACCTTTTCTTCTTTTAAGTCAATTATCTCAGGCATTCTGCCAAAGAAACCTGACTAGTACCTATCTACACAATAGTCAACTAACAGTATGATTACAAGGTCATTTTTACTCTTCTATGAAATATTTATATGCAGAGACCAATTCATGAGAAGTCTAGACTGAACCTGGAGCATCTCAGAGCAGGGGATGTGTGAGGGCAAGAGTAAGAGCCAAGTCTGGAACTTAGTAGTGGCCAGGCAATGACCACTGAGACTGGTACAATAATGGGAGCAGTCAGGAAGGAGCTAAGATGCTAGATGTGGGAGGCAGAATTAGAAGATGGCCAGTAGACTAGTGAGATCACTGGGTGGGCCAGTAATCTATCTGGAAACCCTGTTAACAAAGGGCAGGGTAAAAGCATTTGGAACCCAGGTGTCATATCAAAAAATCAATGTAAATATGAGGGAACAAGTTGACCAGGAGATAGCTGGTGTGGTCCATTAAGGAGATAATTCTCTCCTCCTACATTAGAAACCAATTCCGGGTAAAGGGAAGCTCAGAGGTGAGAACAATTAGGCAAAGGCACCAAGCTGACAAAATGAAGTGAAGGAACTCCAACAGCAGGTCCTGCCTGGCAAGGACAAGTGAGGCTCATGGGGCACAGGCTGGAAATTGTTGTAAGAAATACAATTTCCAATACCCATCTCCCCCCATGACCTCTTAGTAACAGAACTCCTCCGTGTTTTAACTGCACACATAGTTGTCTAGTTAGAGAGACCATATTTTAACCTCCCTTTCAATTCAATATAACCATGTGACTAAATTCTGACCAAGAGGATATAAGAGTAGGTGTTGTGTGCCACTGCCAGGTCACAACTTCAAAAGGAAGCTATTTGCCCTCTGTGGGAGGCAGAACAATGGCCTCCTAAAGATGTCCGTATCTGTGAGTGTGTGAAGTTACATGGCAAAGAGAAATTAAAGTCACAGATGAAAGTAAGGTACTAATAAGCCACACACCGAGATGAAGAGAGTCACCCAGGTTGCACAGGTAGGCCCCATGTAATCACAAAGGGTCTTTAAAAGTAGAAAAGGAGGCAGGTGAGAGGGTGGCATGAGGAAGACTTGGCCTCACTGCAGGCTTTGAAGAGGGATGAAAGGGCCCTTAGAAGCTGGAAAACCAGGGAAAAGAATTCTCCCCTGGACATTCCAGAGAGGAGCTTAACCATGCCTTGATTTCAGCCCGGTGACACCTGTGTCAGACTTCTGCAGAACCATAAGATACATTTGTGAGGTTTTAAGTCTTTTAGTTTATGGTAATTTTTCACAGAAGCAAAAAGAAACTAATAGCATCCTCCATTTGTTTGGTGGTTGTATAGTTTTTTTTCCTCTTTGATCTAGAATATAACTATACAGCATCTGAAGATAACCTGGCAAAACAAGAAAGGAGAAACTTAGGTCCCTGGTTGCCAGTGTCAGCCTGGGTGCCAGCAGGAAAGAGAGAACACAACTGGGACATTTTAATAAGGGGGCCGTTTACAGATGGGGGCAGGTAGAGGAAAGCCACAAGGACCATGCAGTCACCCAGAGCCAGCATTGGACAGGGGTCACCACCAATCTCAGCCTGAGGGGTGAAAGAGTGAACATTAGGCTGTGTAGGAAAGCCACTTAACAGGACCTATGGTCTTTGGTCATCTGTGACAAGCCGGCAGGGAATCTCAGGGTATAAATATTCTCATGTCACTCTCCCCACCTGCTCAGTCTCTTACTGATTGATATTCCCACGCAGATCAGCTCTCTGTAGCACACAGCAGGGGGCACATAGATGTGAGAGGCACAGTGACCTTGAGGGTTAAAGTTGTGTGTGTGTTTGACTCCCTTGGACAACCTACAGGCCTAACCTTAGAAGTAAAGCAAACCTGTCATTTAAGTCAGGATGACTTTGGTCTCTCTTAAAGAAACTGAACTAACATCCTCATTAGTATGGTTTTTTTAATTAATTTTTTTTGTAGTTGTAGATGGATAGAAAGCCTTTATTTTATTTGTTTATTTGTATATGGTGCTAACAATTGAACCCAGTGCCTCACACATGCTAGACAAGCGTTCTGCCACTGAGTCATAGCCCCAGACCCCTTATTAGTATCTTTGGGACACCAGGGAACCCTAAATCCTCTCCAGTCCTGCTACAGCAGTCCTTCCTTCCTGCAGCATGGTGATGATAGACCAAGGAGACAGTGGAATCCTGCTTTGTCCCTTGCATGACCTCAGATAATGCACAGCCTCTCTGAATCTCAGGTCTTCATTTCCTTCAGCTGTAAATGCTAATAATACGCTGGTCTATTTCTCAGGCCTACTGAGCTAATTCACGTGAAGGGCTTTAAGAGCAAGGCGTTGCAGAAATCCTTCAAGTCATTACTGTTGTTGCTTCGTGTAAGCTACACCTGTGGCCCCTTCTGCGCCATTGCAGCTGTAGTCCTGCCTGCCTTGGAATCCCATCCGCTTACTCTCTCAGACC